TGTATTTCTGGGCCCTATATTTATCGTCCACTTCACTCTTTATTTCTCTATTTTTTTTTATGTTTTTTTTTATTTAAAGTTTTAAAACAGGTAAAATGCCCGCCCGATATTGAGATGTAAACCACATTGCTTGGAAATGAAAAAGAAAGGTCTACAAATTTTGTACTTGTGCTTTGTTTCTTATTTGAGGGCTTTGGCCCTCTTTATTCTTTTATTTCTTTAAAAACATTAATTTACCATATTATTGAAATGTGGTTAATCATAATTTGTTTTTGGGAGAAAACTAACCTCTATTTACTCAACATGTAAAGAAAACTCGCTCATTAAACAAGAATGTGAAAGTGGTTTGAACATAAAAGGGTAAAAGTTAAACATGAACGGTAAGACTGGATAGAATTATAATCGATGATAATCCGCCTTATCACTTAATTAAGTGGGCATCCTTATCACTTAATTAAGTGGGCCAACAGAAACTGTGAAATGCGAAAATGCACGAATTCTCATGCAAAAAACTGAGGTCACCACAACGTATGTGTTGGGACACCCAAATTATACCAGCTAAATTATTTGCTTAATTAAGTCGGTCAACAGAAACCGTGAAATGCGAGAATGCACAAATTCCCATACAAAAAGCTAAGGTCACCACAATACATGTGTCAGGGTGTATTGATTGTACCACCTAAGTAATTTGTTACCTCTTGAGTATATTCTCCCACATTTAAGGTATTTATAAGAAGGTCTCTAAGCTTTGTATACCTAAAACATTCAGATTACGTCCTTACGGTTGTAGCACTCCGAGCCCTAATGAACCTTGATTGTGTTGAACACTCTCAATTATGGATGAGGTTACAAGATTGGATAAGCCATTTATGACTACATGAGAATTTGCCTATTTATAGATGTGGAAGTGACTATTGTGCCCTTTCTTGAGAGACAACAATTGCATCCCCTTAAATTTGAAAGGCAAAAGTTGTAATGTGTTATTTTGAATCTCAGAGCCTTACTCTTGAATAATTTGAAACATCATTTAAATCTCAGACTCCTTAAACTTTCATTTCGTGTCAATGTCTCCAATGTCAATAGTTATGCCAATTATTCAGTTCAATTAAGAGTCATTTTCATCCATTCGAATAGGGACTTGGTGTGATTCAACTTCGCCATGTTTGATAACGTACTCCTATACGCCCCTAAAAAGTTAGTCATGTGCCTAAGATGTGAGGAAAACTGAATTGAAAGTTTAGGAGGGCTTAAAATTAAGCTAAACATTTCCGTATAATATAATTATGTAAACATATTTTTTCAAAAATTATCAATTTCTTGCATTTGTAATTTTATCCCTGGACTTGGACTTTGTTTATTCCTTTGAAATGTTAAACAGAATTTCTCGTCCAAATAGAAGCCAATAAGATCCTTTCTAGCAAATTACAATCTCATCGAAGGGGTACCATGTTGTCGCATTACATACGTAGACATACAATTTTTTACACACCAAAATCTTATTCAATCTCTAATTAATCTTGATGCACGTATACGTAGATCTACAATTATTATGATAATAATATATGAGATGTTGAGGGTTTTGTTAATGATTTACTTAATTATGTGTACGTGCTTAGATTATTGTTTCTTAAGTATCGCGCCGGCGATTCACGATACGAACCAAGTACATAGAACAAATTGATTAAGATTTAAGTAATCACACATCCTTTTCTAGGCTCCTGTTGATTACAACAATTTGTCCCTAGATATTTGAAATGTAACCTTAAAATAACGATCAATTATGTAGAAATTGCCACCATCATTGAACAACTGACCATTAAAAGCTGATTATAAAAAGAATGACTGACCTGGTTTCAAATTTTATATTTAATTGTGCTTGTAATTGGGATTAAAATAAGGTCTAATCACATGGTCCCCAAACTTGCTGAGTCAATTACTCGTTTACTACTTTTGTTTTTTTATTCTTTTTTTTTTTAACAAAAAGTGTTAGAGGGAGAGTGAGGTTTCGAGCTCTAAGTTTAAATGCGAGGGTAAATTTTTTTTCTACTGCTAGAACTCAGGTTAATCGTTTTATTAGTCTCTGAATTTAGATTCGATTTGCATTTAAGTCTCTCAATTTCTAAAATTGTTCCCGTGGTCCTTCCACCCACTTTGCGATTTCCTCCCAGCCTGCAACGAACCCTCTGTGATTTTCTTCTCATTGTTTTCATATGTGGATAGGTTGCAGATGGTGGGTTTGGGGTTGAGGGTTTATGGGTGAAAAACAGAATGAGGGAGGAGATGCATGTCTCTGTTGCGGTGGTCTCGTGAGGGGAGGGTGGGGAAATTTATTATTGTTTTATCAAAAAGCAGGGGACAAAGAGGGGAGTGGTGCCTCAAATCATGTGGGAAAGCGTTCGAAATTATCTAAATTTGAAAATAAATATCCCATTATTGGTCATCACCATTGAAGCTTTCTTCAAAGCTCAGAAGGGTACGTGTACATTGGTTGTTAATTGGTAGCCAACTTGGATTAAGATGATTAGGTTAGGTGGGGTGGGGTGGGGGAAGCGTCGGGGTTTGGAGAAAAAGAAAAACCTCTTCGACTTTGCTAAGATGTGTGAATGTGAAGAGAGAGAGTTTAATTTTAATTTTTTATTCATATTTTAATTAATTTAATATAAAAATATTATTTTGTTCCTGTATTTAACAGAAAAGTTAACAAAATTGACGGCATGACCATTTATTCTAACGAAAAAGGACCACGGGAACGATTTTGGAAATTGAGAGACTCAAATGTAAATCGGGTCTAAGTTCAGAGACTAATAAATGATTAACTCGCTAAAACTCCCATACACTAGTTAACTCATTAAACTTACTATAACTTACTTTTTTTTTTTAATGGAAAACTATTACTTATTTATTAAGCTGAGGCATAACATCCAAATTAAACTGCGAAAAAGAATGACAAAAAATTTGTAACTTAAGTCATATGAGGATAGATTCATATACCTAGATTTGTGTTCAATTCCTTTGTTTTCTAATTGTTGGTATTTAAAAAATGTAAATGGTGCCAACGAGGTTTAACATAGTGGAAAAACACTAGTGATTTCAAATTCGAACCCCTATAAGACTTTGGTAGTGTGTGTGTGTGAGTTTACACTATCACGTGTATCCAAAAAAAATGCAAAGGTAAGTGAGCAAAATTGATTTTGGGCCCTTCTCTAATCCAAAATTTTGGGCCATAAGGGTCAACTAAAACTTTTCTAGCAACCATTTCCTCTTCCACAAATGACAGCCCGCTCTTTACGGTCAGGCTGGCTCATTTCAGACACAAACAACTTTCGCTCAATAAAGCCTGGCACACCCTTTATGGCAACTGAAGCAATCTGCATTGCATAAAATAATATTTCTTATTAAAACCCAAGCATATGGGAGTAAATTAACTAATACACAAATAAAATTGAAAGAAAGAAAGTACATCCTCTTTTTATTAGTAAAAGAAAGTTCCAGATTGTTGGGTTGACCATGTACCCAGAATTTTTTTTGGCTAAGTAGGCCCAAGTCCCATTTTTTGGGCTGTAAGGAGCTTTTTCTCTTTAAATTGATATCTTTTGGGCTTGTGTATTTTTAGGTCTTCAATTGAAGACACTTGGACTTTTAAATTTCTTTAAAAAATTTTAAAATCTCAATTGAATACACCTCTTAAGTGAGAAATTGTCTAACCATTCGGTCATCATGTAACATGATTGCTTTAGAGTGCTGCTATTTCCACCCACCTGTCATATTTTCCCACCCATCTTATCTTCCCACCCATTATGTAAATTTGAAAAAACACAATCCTATCTTTCCACCCACCATTATTCCTAAAACACCCTTAAATTATTAATTCAAGCAAATTCTCTTTTAAGTTAAAGAGGTCTGTTAATGGGAGATAGGATGGTAGAGAAGGTGCAATAATGGGAGATAGGAAATTTGAAGAATCCCCCATAGTTACAAGGTTTGATATTTGTGATTTGGATTTTTTTTAACTTTTTTTAATTTTAAGGTTGAGGCAATTGTTTTGGTTTTTAATCCTTTTCTCTAAGTCCTTAGAAGTCTTTTCATAAATGGGTAAATTTATCTTTAAAATTTTAAAGATAAGGTGGGTGGAAATGGCAGCGAATATTTGGCACATTACAAGATGATGTCTACATTCATTACTAACGATTCGATGAATATATGATTTTTAAATTGAATAATCTTTTAAAGTATGATACTTGTATTATGATGTATCTAAAAAGTAAATAGCTCGAAGCTTGGATCAATACATGAATTACATGGAAAATCAAATTTATAATTGTTACATGATGAACAATAAAAAATTTGTTAAAATATTAAATATCTAGAAATATTTTATTTTAACGACAATATCTAGGGCAACGAAGAGGAAGCGGCCTACTCTCTCTCGCTCAAAGCGATTAGAGGGCAATGAAGGAATCTATTCTTTTAACATTATACCAACTATGAAGCCAAGGGAGCTCATAAGCTTTAATGGCTGCTAATACTTTCGTATGCACACACCCTTTGTAATCACAAAAAACTTTAGTTCGAATTGGCTTTCAAAACATATATCTTACCTAAAAAATGCTACTTCCAAAATGAGTGAGCAACAGTAGGTGGTTTTGTAGCACATAATCGCAATTACTTTTACACATTCTTCTAGCCCTTTGATTTAGTTGTACACTTTTTTCTTTTCCAAAAGAAGAAATTTCGGACAAGAAAAAAGAGTAGCACAACTCCTCCCAAAAGTAAGTAGTTATTACATTACTAAATGATGGTCAATTACACGAAAAAAAAAATGTTTATATATCAAGAATCATGTAAAGGGAAATATACCATGCGTATAAGAGAGAAAGGGGGAAAATACCATCTTCCCTTTTTCCTTTCTTCTATTGAAGCCTCATCCTCCTTTGTAGAATTTTTATATATATATATATATA